TTCCTGGCACTGCAATTCTACCCCGAATTTGTATCTTCTTCTCTTCAATAGCAGTTATTATTATTCAAATATATATATTATCATCACCACCCTTTTTCTTACAAACAATTTCGCATAATCTTCGTTTCTTAGATATATATTTATTATAATTATTGATTTCAACTTTTTTACCTGAATTACAATATTAAAAGTTTCCAGATTTAAATAATTAACACAGAAATTTTCAAATGTTTAAGTAAGGTAAAATTATTATAGATTAACAAAAATAAGTCTTCTAAACATTTATCACTGCATTTATATATATCCAAGTTCAAAATTATAAATTAAGTTAAAACAGTTAACATGTTTAAATATATGTAAATAAATAAGGAAATGTACGCATTCTCTAGTTTGAAAATGGTGATTAAATAATTGAAATTTCAATATCATGCACTATAAGTAAATAAAATAAAATATGATTATTGCTTCAATGGCTTGTAAAATAGTTATTAATAGTTGAAAAATGAAAAAATTTATAATGTACTTAAAGATACTATTCTAACATTTTGTATTTCTCTTGTCAATAAACCTTTAATGATATATTTTATAATTTTTTAATGTACAAAAAATTGAGTGTTATTGAAGAAAGGTTTATATACATGATAAGGGCTCTATTTTACTGTAAATCCATATTCATATTTCAGATAAAAAAATTCTTTTTTTAACGCATCTCTACAAAAATAAAAGCATTATGTTTCTTTTTTAAAAAATGATATACAATACAATTTAAAAATGGAAATAAACATATTCCAAATTTAAGCATTTGTTGTCTTAAAAATTATGACAAGCAAATTATTTAATAATTTTGACTATAATTTGTAACAAACATGCTCTAAATTTAAGCATTTGTTGTCTTAAAAATTATTACAAGCAAACTATTTAATAATTCTGATTACAATTTTTTGTGCTGCAAATGTTTTTTTTTTTTTACTTCTTACTTCAATTTTGTAATTTTTTTGCAATTCAAGTTAAATTTTTTGAAATATTAGTTAAAGCAACTATAATTATTAAGCCTCAACACGCGCAAGATTGCATGTTATAAAAGAAAACAATGTTTTTATAGTACATTACCGTGATGTTTTGACATGTATTTAGTGGGGAATATGCACATGAAATAAATAAATAATAATAATTTAATATATATATTAAATCCATGTGACAAATTTATTGAAAAGTAAATACTATATGTAATATATTTATGTGAAATGTTTATTAACATTAGCCTACAATTGTATGTCGATTAAACCCAAAGTTTAGCACAATATGTTGATAAACATCTAATAAACCAAATGAATAATCAAGCTTTTATATAACTGACTATTTTAATTACAAAGTTTGTATGTGTTTTTTTATTTTGAAATATTGTTTACTCACGAATTTTTATTATGGTGTTTTATTTTAGTGTGTTGAGATATGTAGTGCTTGGTTTAGGGAAAAAAAAATTAATATATAACGGGTTATCCCATTTCACGCAATTACATTATTTATTGAAGCAATAAAATATCTTAAATTTATAAATATCTGAAATTTGTCCTATGATTTTATTTTGTCAATGGCCGTAATATAACATATATAAATAACGTAGTGGAACAGCAAACAAGATAAGTTCATGTTATACTTTTATTATATTGTGTTTTTAGTCTATTTTTATATTAAAATATTTTCCATTCTATTATGTATACCAAATAAGTTATAGTATTTTGTCATGTTATATTAATTGATTAAAAAATTATAACAAATTTTTAGTTAAAAACAAATAAATTACAATTAACTAATTTATTTTTTATTTGTCATCTCACATTATATATATATTTTTTATTAAACGAGATTAAAAGTCTAAAAAAAGACCAACAACCTAAATTAAAAATTTAGGAAACAAAACACTTGAAAGTCTAATTAAAAACAAATAAAACTAAAAAAAGTGAGAGTCTCGTCAAAACATTTCACATTATATAATTTTTTTTTTTGTCATTTGACCTTATAATTTATACAACATTAAATAACATTATTAATACTTACAATGTTTTAGTTATTAACGTTATTGAAATTATTATCATATTTATGATTTTTTTAATAAAATTTGTAACTATTCGCTTAATAATATATTATTATTATTATATAAAAATTAATTTTATATGTATATAAAATATATATTATCATTTATTAAAGTATATAATATGCATGAAACATGAAGTAAAAATATAATTTGTTGATTTTTTTTACCATATCCTATCACAACCATCATATTATGTTTTAAAATATATTTTATTCAATTAAATTTTTTTTTTATCAATGTGTAATTTTTTTTATAAAATAACTACATTACTTATTATATTGATTAGTTTTTTTTTTACAATCTTATTATCTAAAATTTATTTTAATAATTGTATTTTTATAAGTTTAATTAATTAATATTGTGACTTTTGTATTTTTTTATAGAAAAGACAAATAACAAATAAATAAAGTTATTAAATATATAACTCCTTAACATCCTGAAGAAATAATCTCAATTTTATAATAGTTGAAATTTATTATCCATTATTTGAAATCAATATTTTAAAAAGTTTTTAGTTTAACAAAAAAATACACATATGTTGCATTCACATAAAGTGTGTATAATAATTATTTGTTAATTTTTTATAAGACGTTCCTTTGTATATCAAATGAGATAAGTATACTTACAAAAATAAAAAATAATTTTTATTATAAAGTGCATGACCTTTATTGTGTTAGAATAACACAAAAAATGTTTGATATTTAGATTATAAATAATTTTTAATTAATAAAACATAATTACGAATTTAACATGAGTAATGTCAGAAATGCTAATAAATTCACAAGTTCCTCTAAGTCAATTTCATCTCTATTACTGATAAAAACATCAAAACTAGCTCTTAAAAGTTTCATATGTATTGTGGATAAGTTCAAAATTTTGATTAGTTTAATAAATTTAATGTTCTAAATAAGTACGAGATTGCATTTTTTCACATAAATGAAGTTGTTTGATAAAGTTCATAATATTAAGCATGATGTTATAGACTAAAATTATTTTTTCAATAATGTCAGTCAACAATAATAACCTTTTATATTCACTGTGGTATAGCTAAAAATAAAGGATAATTATTTTTATGTTAAGTCATAATTGCATCATAAGACATTTCCATCTACAAACTAACTTTAGAAGATAAATGAAGGAAAATTATATTTAATTTTAAATAATTGCCATAATATAAAAGATTTCATAATAAATACTAAGAATAAATAAATATAAATTATATTTAAAATTAAAGTTATATTTGGTAAAGATAATTTATAACTTATTGACTATAAAAAACATAAAAAAAAAACAAATAGCAAAGAGTATAAATTATACCTAAAATTGATACTATGTTTGATAAAAATAACATAACTTATTAATTTGTATAACTTTTTGGTAAAAAAAAAAAGGAGTTTATATATTTTAAAAAGCTAAATTTTTAAAAGATATTATAAGAAGCACTTTCTAAAGCTATTTACTAACATTTGTATTATATTTTTATTATTTATTTATTTGTTAAATAACAAATTAAAACTTACATATATACATTAATTTTTCTATTTTTTATTTTTTCAATCTTTACTATAGTTTCGTTCATCTTTACATGTTGTCTTGTCTTTTTTATTAAAATGTATTTTATATTTTAAAAAATACATAATTTAAAATATTATATGTTCAAAATATATAAAAATAATTTTTTTATATTATTTTGTAATTAATTAATATTAAACAAATAAAACAAATGATATATAATTTTAATATTACATTAATATAATATTACATGTCAATTTAGTTCATTTAATACAAATAAGTTAGTTGTTTTTTAATGATTTTAATTACATATTTATAAAATTTATTTGATCTTACAATTAAAAGTTACAAATTCACAATTTTAAACTTGTTTTACTGAAAAAAATTTAAATTTTTTACTATTAACTATCAATTATAATCACTGCAACTCTCATTAGTCAAATGATATTGGGTAAGTTTTTTATGCTGATAATTCAATTACATACAAATCTATTGTAATTAGATAGAAATTAACAATTTAAATTAAACTGTTGAGAATATAAAACATGATTGGATCTTGTGACTTTTCTCTTCAAAATCAATTCAACTCAGCAGCAAATGCCCCTTATTAATGCACGGAAGCTCCTTTAGAAAATTCCAATAAACATCAATGCATATTATACTTTACCTAACTACAACATGTGGCGCTTACAAATAAATGCTGAGTTGTAACCAAACATTATTTTATAAGCAGCTTTTGTTATTCAAAATAAATTTTACAAATAGACTGCTTTACCTCTTTGTTTCTCAGTGTACTAAACTTCTAATCATGAGTGACAAGATGATATGATCCTGAATTTTGGGTTGAGGGTGGGTCTTATAAGCCTTCTCTCTAGGGTTTACTACACTTTTTGCTTCCTTAAGTCAATGGACATGGCTTGTTACATCCCTTTTAGTTCATTGGCGGCAATGTTCAATTGCTCATAGATCCATGTCAATATCAAACATCAATCACCACACATGATGATTGGAATATCTGATTCGAGGCATCAATTATAATTCTTGCCTCTTTCTATGTGAACTTCAACTTATTTTTTTATTACCCCCAAAATTTCCTTCAAGTTGTGTATATCAGGAAATGGGAAAACCTTTCAATTTCGCATTTAATTAATTGTATCTATCATCTATTCTTATAAAAAATCTAGGATTCTTAAACAGATTCAATTCAAAGGACCATTCTCATCTGAAAAGCAGATAGGTAAGAAAAAGCTATCATCACAAATTCACAACAATACCTCACTAGATTTAAGGAGCACCTATCTCACCTCACATCACATCCATAGACTCGCACTATATCCACATCATATGTGTGCATTTTTTTATTCTTTTATTTTTTTTCTCATTTTCACTTCTCAAGTACTCTTCTGCCATGTCCCCTTAGAAACTTCTCTGAACAAAACAACTCAATTTCAAAATAACACATGCCCACAAAGAAAAAGCAGTCTTTATTACTCTCCTATGTTTTGCAGTCATGCTTTCTTCTTTCATATGCCCATTATATTCATTCTTCCCTCCCAAGCTTTTGATTCTTCCACCACTTTACCAAACAAAAACCCTAGATTTTCTCTTTCCAATCAATTAATTCTCTGAGTTTTCACCCTAAAGGCAAAAGATACTTACGATTTCCCCTTTATATTTTTCTTTTCAGTCACATCCCCATCTCAATTCTCTGATTTGTTGATTTTTTTAACTGCTTCTATCGTTTTCCCTTTGCATAAACCCCAATTTCTTAACGAGGGTATCTTAAACATTACTACCTTTTACTCTCTGATCACGGATGGGTATGGCCTAGTTCTACTCAGTTACTTGTTTTTCAATCAAAGGAGCCGTTTTTTTTCTTTTATTCTAAATGGGTGGAATTTTCTTTTGTTGTTGCTGTTGTTGTATGTTGGGTTGAGAAGCATTTTTCTTTGTTGCTAAACAGTTTGCAGTTACAGCAACAATGTCAGATGACATGCTTATTCATTTCTCTTCCAACTCTTCAAACCAATCGGATCAGTCTCTTCCTACAAAGATTGCAAAGTTGGAAGCTCGAATGGTGGGCAAGGGTTCCTCCACCACTGCTCAGCAATCAGCTTGGTCCTCAGTACCATCTTCAGCTGGGAAATTTGGTGGAGCTGCTGAAGATTTGGCTGAGCCACCCTCTTCCAGTGATTCTGATGACGATGTAAGACTTGGTCCAATTCAGTGCAATGGGTTTGGGCATTTCACTGCATTTACGAAGGCTCCTATTATTATGGTTTTGGCTTATTAGCTTGTGCTGCCAGGGGTTTTTCAATGTTAATTTTTAGAAGATTTTTTTGTTTGATTTGGTGGTTGATTGGTTGTTTATTTGCCCATGGTTTAGGCTATAATAAATTTATGTAGCATATTTTATGTTTATTGCTAATGTGATTTTGCTGACAACTTGACATCGAGGTTATGCATTTCATGTGTTGTTAATGATCTGGAAAATCAGTAAAATTCCTTTGATGAGCTTGATTGATCAGATTTTCTTTATCTTCATATTTCTACTCCAGAATGGTGGGGAATTCTTAATACAAGCCAACACACAGAAGCGCCTAAAACTTCAAGCAGATGAAAGCACTAATGTTTTTGAACATGTTGAGGTTGGTATTCTTCTGATGACTCGATATACTTTCTGCTACAGCAATGGAATAGCTGCATCTCTTGTTGAACATACAGCAACTCACTCATTCGATAAATTGCCTTCTTTTTGGCTCACTTTTAAATGTTTTGCTCTCATTATCGCCTGTTTCTAGTACTTTGATGACTTTAACTGCTTATAAGAAGTGGACCCTTTGCAACTGGTCATCTAGTCGTTTCCAACTGAAAATACTTTACATATCAGGTTGTTACTGATGGAAGACAAAGTAGTTTGGAGGCTGTGGAGACAAAAATTAATGTTGATGTGAATAGAAAGAAACATGGTCGAGGAAGAGGGAGTTCTGGTTCAGGTAGGGGCCGTGGTTCCAGAGTTAATGATCAGACCAGAACACAAATTTCTCCTCCTGTTTTGGCTTCAAATGGTCAGATTGAGAATGTAAACCATAAAGTATGCTCCTTCCCATGAAATATTTGTTACCGTAATTATAATCTGTCAATTGTTCCTTTCAGTTTTTTTCTAAACTGGTCTTTTAAATTGTGAACATATCTAGTCTACACATAATTGCTTTCATAGTTGTGCAACTGTGTCATCCTTAACTGATTATAATTGTCACCTGAGGTTGAAACCTCTTGGGTTAAAGGACTACAGCTGGAAGGACTGATTGTATCATTCATAGTCTGTAGCTGAAAGGAAATATGATTGCATTGGTCTTGGGTGCCCCTTTTGTTGCTTGGTTTTTTTGAATGGTTACTCAATACCAGTGTAATGTCTTATAAATCATACGCTGTTCAGCAAGATTATATTTGCACTATTGTTTGGTCATCATTTAGCTCTTAGGGTTATGCAAACTGGATTCTTTCCTGATTTGTATGAATGAAGATTCATAGTTTAGGAATGGTACATTGCTTAAGCAATCAATTTTACAGATTTATCATTAATATTGCATTCCTTGATTGTTCCTTACAGAGCTCAAATTTATTTGCAGGATGGCAGGCCTAGTGATCAGTTTCATAATGATAATTGTGCTTCATTAGAGGTATGGCTTTTGCCCAGACTTTGAGTTCCACTTGTAAATTTTATGGTAAGGAATAGAATGTGGGGCTTTTTCCCTCCAAAGATCCCAATGGAATTGCTGATTCTTTTACTCTTCATTTTTGTTTTATTGGGGGTATCAAAAGCTTGTGATTTTTCAAATGTTTTTCTCATTTTATTTCTTCTCTATCTTTAATTAGGATGAGGTTGCTTCTTTACATGCAAAAGTTGTTGCATTGGAGGAGGAATTGCGTAAATCGAAGCAAGAGACCTCTGATTATCAGAATCTTTATCGACAGTTAGAAAAGGTATATGAATAATATAGCTGAATTGCAATGAGAATTGTAAACCAGAACGATGCTTTCTGAATCTTGAATTGTATCAAATTTTAACATACCATCCCAAATTGAAAAATAGTACAAAAAGTTATACCACTAAAATGAAAGAAAATGCTTGCAATAATAATTTTGACCCAAATTTAACTATAAAAAGGGGATTATTGAATGTCCGAGTTGCAAACCTGGCATGCAGTATGGTAGTATAGTGAGCTAACCATTGGATGAGGCTCCCACCTAGTAGGGTCTGGGGAGGGTTTGATGTATGCTGATTTACCCCTGCCAAGATGAGGCTGTTTTCAGGATATGAATCCATAGCTTTTGGGTCACAAGGCCGTAAGCTAACCATTATGGCAAAGTTCGTCCACCCAAATTTAATTATATCAATACAAAAACAACAACGGCAAAGCCTTGTCCTACTAGGTAAGACCAGCTACATAATCGCACAACGCCACCAAGCTCGGTAAAAAAACTAATTTTTATAGATTTATTTACCATGAGATCTTTTGATAATTTTCCTCAGGTTCAATTACTAATCACATGACTTACATACATCTCAGATTCAAAGATAAGGTCTGGACCCAAAAATTAAAATGATTTACCATACTTTTCCAATAGGAGATGAAACTGGGCAGTGGGTGTTATCAGTTATGGTACTTTTATGTTTTTGGATGTAACAAAGTCCCTCCTATTCACATGTTTAATAACATTGTCCAATATGGGAACCTCCCATTTTACCTTATTTGTCAGGCTATTGAAGAAAAATGCATTTAATTTAATTTTGAAATTAGTGTGTATTTTTCCGCTTTAGTTGTGCAGTTTGGAATGGTCTGTTGCAACACAACCAAAATATACTCCAGTCTCCTATACGCTTGCACTTTGTATAAATGCTCTAATGTGGATTTCTGCATGAGTTTTTAAAGAAGACAGTATGAAAATTAAGAAGTTTATTTCTTTTACCATTTGGGCCACTCAGATCTAAACCAGACCTGTTGCTGCCAGACGAAAAACTGCTAGATGCTAGCAAAATGGACCTACAAATTGCATGATTTTGATAACATTGACTAAAGGAACAAGTTAATCAGAATTTTTGAAACAAAATGACAAGGTGTATATAGTGAATTGTAAAATATATTTTAAAGGTAAGGGGATTAAGAGTAGCTGAAATTGATGTGATGATTTTTTGTTTTTGTTTTTTTAACATTATTGCTTGATTTTGGCATGTGCAGGAACTGAAGGAGATGACTGATCATGAACAGCAAATGAAGCCTAAGGTGTGATTATTTTCAGCTTTTGATTTCACATCATAGTTCCTTTGTGAATCTGTTCATTCCCAATTATACTGGTGTTATTTAAAATAGAAAGCATTGGCTTGCCCTGTGGTGCATGGAAGACACAGCACAGGCATACCTTAAATTTTGTTTGTAAATTCTGTACAAAAAGTGAACTAAAAATCTTTACACAGCTCCTTATTGAATATTGATACGTGATAAGTGTATCACTTTCACTCCCTCCCCTCCTCCAAAAAAGTAGTTTATGAGCATTTTTTGTACCATGCATCAATTAGGCAGTGTATTCACATTTGATCCTTTTATTTTGCAGAGAACGAAAATCATATCTGATTTGCTGATATCAGTTTCAAAGGCCGAGAGACAAGAAGCAAGGCTGAAAGTACGACAAGATTCATTGAGACTTGGAAATGTTGGTGTAATCAGGTATGCATGGAGCATTTTAGGAAATTATAATTCATATAATATTTTTAATATTTTTCTTATTAATTCAGTTATGAATTGTAGAGCTGGAACTGTCATATCTGAGACCTGGGAAGATGGTCAAGCTTTAAAGGATCTGAATGCCCAGCTTGTATGTGTCTTTTCCTTTCTCCTCCACCATGTTTTTTCTTTTAAATTTTTGTACTCAAGATTAGTAGTGGTTGTGATCAATTTATCAGATTCAACTAGGATTTATTGTGAGATTTACTCAGATTTAGGGATTATTGTAACAGACATTTTTTAGAATTCTGATTCTTTCCTTATTTATTGTGATCAATTACTGTATTATTAGTGTAGTATATATCCAATCTTCATTTTTACTTGGTGGGTTAGGTCCTCAAATAATGGGTAAAGATACCAAACTTTTGTGTCAATGTTATTTTATCTTCTGCCTGTTTGTCTTTTGCAATTAAAACCTTGCCTGTGCTGATACTTTGCACTAGTAATACCAAGAATTCCTTTTCCTCTTCTTTCTTTTACCCCCAGAAACAACTGCTAGAAACAAAGGAGGCAATCGAACGACAGCGCAAATTGTTTAAGAAAAAACAATCTGGTAAATTCTGCTCTCTTTTTTCTTTTAACACTTATCCACCTAAAATTGGGGAAGAGGGGTTGGAAGGACCAAATTTGTGACTGTCCTTTCCACTCTCCCATCCCCTTATTAGTTCATACCATTTGTAGTATGAACTTACCATGCATCTTCATAAGTCTGTACATTAAATATTTTGTATATGTTGATTTTCAATAGCCTTCTCTAGATACTATACAAATCATAACTGACCTTATGCTCCTTAATATGGTCTATTGGATACATTAAATATCTGTTTCAGGCTGTCAGATACTGCTAGACTATCTTGTATTATATTACTCTGTGCATTGCGGTAATGGTTTGTGTTTCATTTTGTTTGGGCCTTTTCTCTGGTTGAAGATAAGGGTGATGGAGCAGATGCAGAGGCTGGGTTACCAGAAGATATTCTGATTCACGATGAAATCTACAAATCTCGACTAGCTTGTCTTAAACGGGTAAGTTGCTACTTCTGTTTGTCCAGTTATTTTCTTTCCTCGTTATATTTCTAATAGCAGAAAATGTTCAGGAAGAAGAAATTATTTTGCGGGAGAGGGATCGATATGAACTAGAGAAGGGGAGGTTAATTCGTGAAATGAAACGCATTCGTGACGAAGATGGTTCACGGTTTAACAACTTTCAGATTCTTAATCATCGTTATGCCCTTCTAAACCTTCTTGGAAAGGGAGGGTTCAGTGAGGTGTACAAGGTCAGAATTTTTTAGAAAAAGAATAATAATATTTTGATCTTAATTGATATTATTTTAGCAAATATTGCACAAGGTTTTGAGGAACCAAAATCAGAATCTAGACAGTTCCTTTGCCTATAGTGGCAATTGTAAATAAATACCTTTTTGCAGTGATTTGAAGTAAGAAATTTCCAGCAGGCTTTCGACTTGGTGGAGCATAGATATGTTGCATGCAAGCTTCATGGTTTACATGCTCAATGGAGTGAAGAGAAGAAGCAAAGTTACATACGACATGCAATTCGGGAGTATAATATTCACAAGACGCTTGTACATCGTCACATTGTTCGTTTATGGGACATCTTTGAGATTGATCAAAACACATTCTGCACAGTTCTAGAGTATTGTAGCGGTATATACAATTAATTGCTTTGTGAAGCTCATTATTTTTTATTTAGCCTCTGTTTCTTTGAAGTTTGAACCAGAATGGCTTAGTAATTTTTGTTTGATTTCTAGTTTTGTCTACCTCTTTGCCTTTTGACCCTCCTTTATTCTTCCAGGGAAGGATCTTGATGTTGTCCTTAAAGCAACACCTATTTTGCCGGAGAGGGAGGCTAAGGTCATCATAGTTCAGATTTTTCAAGGCCTTATTTACATGAATAAAAGAACACAGAAGATTATTCATTATGATTTAAAGCCTGGAAACGTTCTGTTTGATGAGCTTGGTGTTGCCAAAGTGACTGATTTTGGTCTTAGCAAGATAGTGGAGGATGATGTGGGATCCCAGGGTATGGAACTGACATCACAGGGAGCTGGAACATATTGGTAAGTGGTGAAAGTCATTGTTGGAATCCAAAATTTAAAGTGGTCCAAATTGTAGGTTTTAACTTTTAAGCTTCACTCTCCTCAATATGACAAACAATGGTGCTTCTTTATATGTTTCCTTGAGATTCCCATGTTTATATTGGTAAAAACCTCTTTATGCATTTTAATTTTCCTTTTTCAATTTGCAGGTATTTGCCTCCTGAATGCTTTGAGCTCAGCAAGACACCTCTTATATCATCAAAGGTGAATAATTTTTTTAGTTTTAAATACATGAATAGCTGTTTATCATCATCATCACTTTGTCAGCCACTTGGTCAAAGGATATTTCACTTTAACGTAAGTGTCATGATGGTTGGGATTATGCAAACAATTAATTTTCTGACTTGTTGAAAACAGGTTGATGTCTGGTCTGCTGGTATTTTATTCTATCAAATGCTCTTTGGCAGACGTCCTTTCGGGCATGACCAAACACAAGAAAGAATACTTCGGGAAGACACAATTATTAAGGCACGCAAGGTTGAATTTCCTTCTAGACCTACTGTTTCTAATGAGGCAAAGGTGACTTGCACCCTTTTCGGATAATTGCTGCCCATGGCTGATTTTTTCTTTGGCCTTCCTTCATTTATTTATTTTATTCTAATATTCAGTGATGGAGACAGTCTTTGGTTCTTGTAGGTTGTTTTTATGGTAAATTAAAAAAAAAAACACTATTCAACCATGTGCAAGTGTAAATAACCCTCGAGAATATATCTGAATGTGCAATGTCCCTTTCATATTACAAATCACAATGCTATTAAAATGATTATTAGAGTTTGATAATTAAGAGGTAATTTGCAGCCAACGACAAAGTATTGGAGAGTATATGTAAGTGCAAGAACCACAATAATAACTCTTGGCCTTGATCATGGAACTAAGCTCTAACTGAATTCCACTTTTTCAGTTTTAAATGAAAATCTTGTCAGATGTTAGAAGGTTGTCGTTTCGATTAAAGACCTCAAATATACACACATTCTTATATCTGGTGTATAGATTCTGTATTTAGCTGTAAAAAGAAAACATTACCTACTATCTACAATTCTTAATCTCAAACCTGACATTTTGTCTGTCTATTAACAATTTTTTTGTCAGGATTTTATTCGACGGTGTCTAACTTATAACCAGGCTGAGAGACCAGATGTATTAACCATTGCTCATGACCCATATCTCACTTTCTCAAAAAAATAATGGCGACATGTTCATTGCATGGCTTGTTATCAAGGCTCCACAGAGAAAGAATGGAGGATCTCATATTCTTCTAACTTCAGTGACTGATTGCGTCAGATTTTGTATAGATTGTAAAGATTTTGTAATGTTGTCAATGAGGAGGATGTTTCCCCCACTCTGAAAGAAAGTCCAGTTGTCTTCATGCATCATCTTTTGGTTCAAAATATTTGTTGAAAAAAAAAGAGGGGGGGGGGGGGGGGGCAAAAGGCAAGTGGGTTTGACTTGACCTTTAAAGGGGTCAAAATGTATAGGTCCTCACAAGTGAGAAAGCTTTCATAATTTTTTAGTACTCTTCCTCCCAAATTATAGGATTTTAATGCATTCTGATTGGCTACTTTATCTTCTATTCCCACCAAGCTATTAATTTGTGAAGGAGAGCAGTTTTAAGGATATTTGAAGAGCATTTTTATTTTACATTCGGCTTTCCGAGTTGGTACATGGGATGTGTGTCTGTGTAACTCAAACAAAAACAAAAGAAATGAATTTGTGTGGGGTTCCATGAAGAAACAGGTAGCTCTTTTTGACATGGAACATTGTGATTGAGACATATTTCAGTACAACAAGCGAGAAGATTTATCCATGTATGAATGACAATATATGTTTCATATCGCTGCAAATAATCCACTGGACTTTTAAAATTTAAATACACTTTCATCAATGAAATTGGGTGACTATTGCGGTGGTCAAAATATGTTATTTGAGAGTGATAAAAGCTCTTCCTTTTTTCGTTTGTATGAATAACAGTTGATGAAAAAATTTGTATACGTACCAATAGCAGGATTTATATGTACAAGGGGTTGTACAACTCTTGGTTTTGTGAATAGAAACCTGAGTATAATTAAGAAACACCATAGAAACTCATTTGTTTTTTTTTTTTAAAGCAATAACCACATTATTTTACTTTTTTCTCAAGAGCTGAAAATAGTACCTTTCAAAAAATTTAAAAATTATTATAAACAAACAGGACAAATCATTGTTAAGTAGTAGCCAACTTTAGAATATTAATATGTTCACTAAGCAAATAAATGTGTTTTTAATAAACTTTTCTTAACTAAACAGGTAAAAAGCAAGAAATTGCCGTTTTTTTTAATGCTATATATAGTGCAATTTAGCAAATCTAAAAAATGTATTTCATGCAAGTAAAAAACACATCCACCTAAGTGGGAAATTAAACTATGCTTACCTGATTTTCACGTAACACTTTTCAACCATAAATTATCTCTTGTAAATTATAAGCTTTTTCAAATGCAATAAACTAATCCAAATACAATAGTATAAATGAAAATAAGACATGCTAACAAAAAGAATATCAAGAGAAGCATGAATTAAGCAGTCTTCGCTAGCCTACATGGTTCATAGTTAAAGCAGCGTAGCACAAGGTCTATTATGGGTTACAAAGAGGATCGCATCTCCATGACTTGTTCAACAACTTAATCTCCAGGGGAACTATTGTTAGTGACTTGGAGATTTTTGAATGGAAATATATTGTATCCGTTTTCTTCTAAAAATTTATCTTCATTCTAATGCTTTGTTTGAAATATAAAGAAAAAAAATATTAATAAAATAATGAAATGTTTAAATGAAATGAAATAAAAATGAAAGAAAAATACTTAAAATATTTATCTTTAAAACTTACATATTTTAATCAATTTCTTTATTCATTGATGAATTTCATAACAATTTAATGGCATGCAAATTAAACATAACAAACAAAGTGGAAAGTGTAAGGGAAGGATCAAACGCTGATTTTGTTTATTCTTCTTTTGCCCAAGCAGACATGGCACTATTTTGTAGGAAACATAATCCCAAACCCCTCTCTTACTTTTTTGCCGCTTCTTTTTTTCCTCGTTCCCTCCACGTACGCTTGGACCAAGTGGTGCTAAAGTTAACCCTGGAGCGGACGGCCTATCCTACGCACCCCCGAAACGCAATAAACGAAATAAGAATTCAGATATCCTCTACTTCAACTATTGTCAACTGTACCTTCTCTGAGGTACTCCCTGTCACTCCTTCACTATTCCCATTGATTCTATGAGTACTTCATATATCTCTGCTTCTCTTTCATCTGAACTCTGCAAATTCTCTTCTCCCTCTCAAGTTTTTGAATTATATTGAAACCCTAAACCATTCACAGATATTTGTTTTACTTGGATTTCTTGTTCTCGTACTTGAATTCGCTGCTAAAACGTGAAAGCACACTTTGCACCCTGATTTTAGCTAGATTTTCCATCGCGGTAACTTGTTTCTGGTTTGAAAGCTAGAATTGCCAGCTTCTAGAGTGCGTGCTTACTTCTATGCGTTATTGAGGCTGTTTTGGAATCAGGACGCGTTAGGAATTAGGTCTTTTCATTTCTGAGTGCATAATAGTTTCACTTGGTGTTGTGAGTATGCTCTACTGTGTGGGAAATATTTTTTGAATTCTATTGTGACGGTACCTTGTATTCTGCTTTACATTTATACACTACCGCTTAACGGGAGAAAGCATGGACAAGACTTTGTGTCGTGTTTCTTATAGGATCGTGCTTATGAAGTGTTTTCATTTGCTCCTGTAGGTGCGGTTATGATACTTTCAACATGTACATCAAGCAGGTAAGTTGCACTTTGAATTTGAAGTTCGTTTATTTAATTTTGTTTACTTCTACTGTGATTGGAATGAGTAGATTGGTTAAATTCCATTTCTGTGTTATGATTTATGAACACTTTCTCTCTTTCAGACATCCTATATTATGCTGTTGTTTGGAGCTGGTTTCTTGCCAAATGGTCTTTTAATGTATTTGTGTGTGCACATGTGTTTTTAGGTTGTGATTGAAGGTTTTAAGAGTTATCGAGAGCAAATTGCCACAGAGCCTTTCAGTTCTAAAGTTAATTGTGTTGGTAATGATTTTAATGATAATCTTTTAGATGCTTTCTTCTGTTGATACTGGAAAATCATTGGAAATGCATGATGTGGTCATTTCATTCATGACATTTTATGATGGCAGCTATATGAAATATGAAATTGAGGCCATACTGAATAAGCTGTGTAGTCAAATTTCATTTGCAATTTTGCATACTAGATTACATACTTACATATATTTGCATGTGTGAAATCCTAATAATATAATAATGATAGTCATATTTACTGTCAAAATTTGCAATTTTTTTATTGCAGGTTGTAAATAGACTTGTATGATATAATAGTGCTCCTTATAAGATGGAAACTGTTTTCTACATTATGATCTCAAAACCAATTTCATCCCATACAATACAAGGAACAGCAGCGCCAGATACTCTTGAAATTTCTGACACCTATCTCCCACCATAAGACCAAATAACTGCAACATCTTCACATTTCCGTTGAGATGTGCCCCACTTCACTTACACTCTGCAAAGCCTTTGAATAGCTGTACTTTATTGATCTAGCATCTGCACTATTCTGGAAATGTTTGCTAGTCTTGTAAGTGGATAACTAAGAAAGTGATATATTAAGATTTTGGTTCTGAATAAACCATGTTTATTAATTTTATTGAATATTGCTATTTGAAATCCTAATTAAAGACCTAACCTTGGAAGTTGGCTTTCCAGTTTATTAATATCCAAGAAAAGAAGTTAGGGAGACATAAAGATGAATTTTATCGTGTAGCTGTAGCTGAAAACCATTGTATGATTTTGTCCAACTTGACTGCTTTGCCGATGGTTATGTTCCCACATCAAGTTAAAGGATGCATACATTGTTTTGGCAGAAGTGCATTCTTTACTCACTATGTTTTCTTCATTTTTATCTCTTTTTTTTACTCTAATGCATTCTTCCTTTTTTTATTTTATCACAACTCACTTAATGTAAAGTTGTTTTTAGAGATGAATTTCCATCTATTCCATTGAGATCAAATGATTAATAGGTAGTTAAAATTGGGATTTTTTTTTACTTCAAAATATAAAGGGGAGTAAAAATTTTAAATCTATCATAAAATTTTTCAAAATTCATATCATGTATATAAAATATTATGGATTAGAAATAAAACCTTTAAATCACTAAAAACACTTCAGTAAACTTGCATTGGTGCTGGCAGCAGCTTCAATGCTACTGGCTCTTCTAGTGTGCCTTCTAACAAGATGAGAAAAACAGAGCAAGATGAAAACAGAAGCATAGAGCAGAACAGAGCAAGATTGGAACAGCAGAAAACACCAAAAGATCTTGCAAAAGATTGCACAGAAGACATAGTCACGGTTGGGCATGAAGCAGTTGCTCCCTGCTGACTCAGGTGCAGACCAGGTTGCACACTGTTGGACTGCTTGAGGTTGCCAATGTTGACTAGGCTTCAAGCAAGAAAGAAAAGGAGACATGACTTAGTTAGATCTTAGGCACTTAGGGTTAGAACAACAATTTAAACTGGGTAATTCAAAATTGGGCCATATCCATCAGTTAAGAATAAGATTCAACTGGGCCAAGATCCTGATCCAAAACTGGGATTTCATGAAATTGTTTTGAAATCCTGATTTTATGATTTCACTACAATTTTACTTGGGATGGGAATGATTTTTTGCTGTGATTTGAATTTTCAGCCCTTCCAAATTGTAAAATGGTGGTATTTTATAATTCAACTCCCAATTTAAATCATCATCATCTGAATTTTTTTTGTTAGTAACATTAATAATATTGATTCAATTACTTTTTTTTTCAGTCGGTGCTAATGGATCTGGGAAGACAAACTTTTTCCATGGTAAGAAAAATCACCATTTCTTTTTCTTCTATAGCTTTATATAGTCTTTGGAAGTAACTGAAATCAGATCTCTGACCTTCAATTGCTTTATCTTTTTCCTTTTGTAGCAATCCGTTTTGTGTTAAGTGATCTTTCGCAGAACCTTCGTGGTGATGATAGGCATGCACTACTCCATGTATGGCACTGGCACAGTTGGCTTCTACTTTTATTTATACATCTATGCCTCTTATCTACTACTACTAATCAATTATAGAACTTGAATATGCTTAAATAAATTATTCTCTGCACAGGAAGGAGCTGGACATCAGGTTTTTTCTGCTTTTGTGGAGATTGTGTTTGATAATTCAGACAATCGTATCCCGGTAATATGTTGTGGATAACAATTTCTTTTCCAGTAAGGGTGCAATGGTGATGATGTTCCACTTTTTTGAACAATTACATTCTCAAAAAATTATCCAATCATTTATACATATTTTATTCTAGGCCTAGAGAAAAATGGGGATTCTTTTATCTTCCTTTGTTGTACATAAAGTGTGTTGATGTGTCCTAAATTGCTTGATTTGCAAAGTGACATAAAATATGACTTTATTTGGAACATCTCTTTCTCAGTGAAAGAATGAATTGTCTAGAGGCTGTTATAGGGCATATGCACATGGATTCTACTAAACTGTCAGCTTTTTCGGCTATTTTTAATCTATCTGTCTCTACCTTTTGAGTGGTGGATGGTTGGATATTTTTCTTATTTTATACAATGAATAAGGCTTGGTTGTTGTTGTATACAATGAATGCCTGTTATGGTTATGCTGCTCCATTTTAATACATAAAGGAGCTTGAAGGCAAAGAAGATAATCTATTGACAGATAAATTGGATGAGTATTATGTTTTTTCCTCTTTTAATATGAACTATT